TCTCTCTCTCTCTCTCTCTCTCTCTCTCACACACACACATACACACACAACGTACCAGTGGTAGACAGAACACCAGCCCGTGCCCCAGTCTTGTAGAGCGGAGCAGAGTAGAGAGTATCCTCTGGCTCATAGTCCATCTGGGGGTCCATCTGCATCACGGGCAAACTGGGGACACAGTGGGTTGTTGGTGGGACAGTTTTACGGCATTTTGTGGGACAGTTTTACGGCATTTTGTGTGAGAGTTTTACGGAACTTTAAGTAAGAATTTTACGGAACTTTATAAAAGAGTTTTACCTTACTTTATGTGAGTGTTATATGGCATTTTATGTAAGAGTTTTACAGCACTTGCAAAAAAAAAAAGAAGGTAATAAAGGTGCCGAAAACCAGTTTATATAAGAGTTTTACGGTACTTGCGAAAAAAAAAAGTTAATAAAGGTGCCGACCGAAGTCCAGTTTATGTAAGAGTTTTACAGCACTTGCAACACAATTAATTAGGTCATACAGGTCCCGAAGTTCAGTTTAGTTTAATAGTTTTACAACACTTAAAACACACTTAGTTGACTATTAGTTTTAGTAAGTTTTTTTTCCCCGGCACTTCAAACACCATTAGGTCATATTATAAGTGCCGAAGTTCAGTTTATTTAAGAGTTTTACAGCACTTGCGACACAATTATGTCGTTCAGGTGCAGAAGTTTAGTTTCCCTCAGTTTTTTTCGGCTCTAAGTTACACAGACAATACAATTAGGCCATACTATTAAAGCGAAGATTAGAGTGCTACTAGAGAGTAAAATACACAGAAAAGAAGGAAGACAGAGAAAAGACTATAGATGTCTTAGATGTTTGATAACAAAGAAAGAACAAACCACACCAGGGCACCCACCATTCACTTACTGTATTACAATGTAATGTGAAAGAGCTCATAAAGATTTAGGGTTGACAGAGTGACGAAAAGAAATAAAAGATAGAGCGGCAAGGGGTAGTTACAAACGTAGCAGGACGACAGCAGTATGCACAAAAGTGACAGTTTTCATAACATTAAACAAGATATCCACCTAGTTTTAGTAAGAGTTTTACTGCACATGAAACATCCTCAGGTCATATATACGTGCTAGACAGTAACACACAAAGAGAGATAATATAATGACAACATGTGTTTGATAGGAAATAAAGAGCAACCCACACTTGAGCACCAGAGCGCCTGCCAGCCGCCCACATTACTAGGGAGTAATTTACAAAGAAAACAAAAAAAGGGAAGAGATAATGACGACAGACGTCGGGAAGGACCCAAAGAGCCATCCACACCAGAGCACCAGAGCACCCGCCAACCACCCACACTACTAGAGAGTAACTTACACAGAAAATAAAAAGGAGAAGAATTAATAATGACGATACACATCGGGCAAAAAAGAAATAGACACCCACATCAGAGCCCCTGCCAACCACCCACATTACTAGAGAGTAACTTGCAAAGAAAATATAACGACGATAGAAGGTGTTTGAAAGAAAAGAAAGAGCCGCACACACACACTAGAACGCCACAGCACCCGTCAACCACCCACCCACTCACACACACCAGAGCACCAGAGCACCCGTCAACCACCCACCCACCTGGAGTTCATCTGTCCTTTGACGGCGTCCGCACACTCCATGTTGTCCCAGTCCCAGGCGAACCCGTCCATGAACAGTCCGTGCACCAGGACTCCGTCTTCTGGGGACTTCAGCTGAGGGCAGAGGGAATGATGTCTGGTGAGGGAGGGGGGAGGAGGAGGACGAAGAGGAGGGGGAGGAGGACGAAGAGGAGGGGAAGGAGGACGAAGAGGAGGAGGAGGAG